CTGGGCAGAATCTAAAATGGCCGATTGGCTATCTAGCCACACTTATATCCTCCAGCACTGGCCTACCTGTTCACATGTGTGTTTTTGTTTTGTTTGGGCAGAATCTCTTTACTGAGAAGATGTGGTAAAGTCGGCACCTTGACTAACCAGCCCAGGCAAGCCTAGATGAAGCAGGCTCCCTTCCCAGCTCTCTCCCCCACCCCAATTCTGGGACTTCCAGAGTACAGGTGCCCTGCCCCAGGCTCAGCCTTCATAGACCAGGTCTGTGGGATCCTTCCCATGACATGACACAGCCACTGTGGCAGGACCCAGTTGTGTCCTGTGCAGGCTCCTCTGGCGGCAGAGTCCCTGAGGACCAGCCTGTTGGAGTGCAGAGGGCACTCCTCAGGAGGAGAGGACGCCCAGGTGGCCTGGTGCAGGGCTTTGTTCCTCGTGTGGTGGTGGTGGCCACGCTGGGTGCTCCTGCTTCCTTTTCTGGGTTCCCCAGGCCCTGGGGTTCCACCGTGGTCCAGGTCTGCCAGATAGCATGAAGCGCTTTGTGTACATCACTGTAGCAGAATGTCCCTTATGCTAGCCTTTGAAGTTGGGTGGTGGGACCCCATCTTGTCCATGGGAAAGGAGATTTGGAAGGGCTAGTTGATCTGCTGAAGGGCATGGTGGTAGACACTAGGTTCTGAAGTGTGATTGCTTATTTAGTTATTTATTTTCAGACATGTCTCATGTAACCCAGACTGACAGTAAACTTGCCATGTAGTCCAGGATGACCTTGCCCCCGAGAGCTGGGGATGACAAGGTTACACTGCTACACCAGATTTTGCATAGTATAGCTGGCATCAGTGTGAGACATCACCCTGGCCTACCTGGTGACTGAGGAAGAACTGCACAGGGGCTGCCTTAGCTCTGCTGCAGCTCTGCTCATCAAGGGCACACGGCCTGGCACCACCATGCCGCTCTCCACTCATGGCACCCCCCTCCCATCGGCCCCGTCCCCATCAGGATCCTCGGGGTCAGGTGGAGATTAGTGGAGCCCTCTGAGCCATTTTGTGTTGTCCTCCTTGAGTGTGGCTGGCTGCTCCAGACCAGACCTGGCAGCCTGGGCAGGGCAGCGGGGGACCCATTTTGCTATATGAGAATCTTCCGGGACTTCCCCCAAGACCATTGCATGTACCATGTGGTGTGTGGAGGTGACATGGGATGAGGTGAGAAGTGGCCATTCATAGCTGAACCATGGGAGAACTCAGGCCCAAACAGGGCTTCTTTTATTTGTTTTGTTTTGTTTTCTAATTAAATTCATCAGTTGAGATGGAGTCACACTGTATAGCCCTGGCTGTCTTGGAACTCTTTGTTGACCAGGGTGGCTCTAGCTTACAGAAGTGCACTGGGATTAAAGGTATGCACCACCGTGCTGAGCTCTATTGTTGTTATAATCTCTTTTTAAGACAGTTACGTACTGGAGCCCAGGCTGATGTGGGTTCACTCTGTAGCCTAGGTTGGCTTCAAACTTACAGCTTCCTGTTTCAGCCTCCCAAGTGCGGGGATAATAGGCAGGAGCTGCCAGGCCCAGGTGGGCCTCTGGTTAGGTCCTGGAGGAGCCTCTCAGAGATAGGAAGTGAGGAGTCAGGCAATCTCTGGCCAGTAGACCAAAGTTTCTATAGAGATGAGATGAACAGGAAACATGGGACCCGCAGGAGGGGCTGTGGGAACCCAGTGGTGTTTGGTGGTGGTAGTGCCCAGCAGGGGAGCTTCTCCTAAGATGTCAAACAATCTTAACAGTCTTAAACAAACAGTCCATGGTGTGTGGTCATTTGCACTGGCTTGGCCTTGTGTTCCACTGGGAGGCTGCATCCCTGGGCAGCTGAGGAAACACTTGTTACAGGTATGTCTTGGAGCACCTAGCAGCGTGTGGGTTCTAAAGTCATACGTGTAAACTGCCATGTGTCCTAACAAGAGCTGCTTCCTTCTTATCTTGTCATGCAGGTCTGCAGGGAGGGCCCAGCCTTTACCACTGCCCAGAGAGCATAGCAGTACCTCCCCCACACCAACTGTGGCCTTTTGTTTTCTGGGTGACACTAGCATCAGGCGGTGTGATGTGTCCGGGTGACTAATCTCCTCCAGGCTGGGCAGCTGGGGCCTGTAGTGCTGGGGAAAGCTGACACCCTAGTGGAGACCTGGCAGGCAAGGGCCCTGGCAGCAGCAGGCAGTGAGGCCTGCAGCTTCCTCTTCCTGGGACAGAAAGTAGACCCTAACTCAAGTAGGCATGGTCACAGGGCCCAGACTCTGGGCATGCTCTCACCACTGAACCTCGTTCTTACCTCAGAGGGCGCAGTGGAGTCAGTGAGATAGTAAAGGGCTTCCCAAGGCCTGTCACAGTAGATGCTGGACGAGCAGGATGGTCGCTAATATTGTGGGCCCTTTCTCTAGCCCATCTCACCCTGTCCCAGGGTCCAAGAGAACCTTGTATTCTACCCATCCCTCTGTACTGTCTGCCTGTGGGCTTTGTGTATGCTTCCCTTTTGTGGCTTAGTTTCCTCATCAGGCACTGTGTGTGTGTGTGTACACATAGTGGACTCAGTCAGTATTAGCTGGATGTCCCTGTGTTTGGGAGGAAAGCAGCCCTTAGTGTCTGCTCTTTCATTTCTGGAACTCACCTCCTGTGCAGTCTTAATGCTGCTTTCCCAGCACAGCTCACTGATTGCGGGAGCTCCGTCCCTGGGCCCACTTCCTTCTCTGTTAGACCCTGTACCGGCCTTGAAGCTACTTGCCCAAGACCCATGACAAGGATGGATGGAGGATTGGGGAGATCAGGTGCTACATATATCAGAAGGGACTGTGCTCCCAGACTGTCCTTCCCCTTGCCCATTAATGGTTAAGGGTACTTCGCCCCTGCTCTGGGCTTCAGCAGAAACTGTCACTCGTTCATGTCTGTGACTTGTTCCATGACTGTGTCTTGGGCTTCCATGGCTGTTTTTTGGAGCTATCACCCTCAGCTGACTGGGAGCTTCCTGCCATCCTCAAGTGTAGAAGAGGTGTAAGCAGAGGAAGCTGATCCCAGTGGCCTGGGAAGGAGGAAAGGTAGAATAGGGAAGCAGGTGAAAGGAAGGGTCTCGGAGAGCTCGCATGGTCTGATACACACCAGGGGTAGAGACCAAGGCCCCTGCCTTCCTGCAGGAGGCAGTCTGGGTCATCTCAAGCTTAGAATTATTAGCCTGAGGCTTCAAGCCTGGGACAATGGTGCACTGGGTCCCTCGGCAGGAAGACTTAGAGGTTTTCAGGCATCACACTTGCGAATGTCCACACTCTGCTTTCTAGAAAAGGGAGACAGTCACTCAGTACCAGGAAGTTCTTAGAGATGTATGTACACGGCATCCAGGATTCAGAAGGCTCTTCTTTTAGCCTAAGCCTCTTACTGCATCTACCAAGTTAAGACAGAGCACTCTTTCCTGGGGATGGAGAGGGCATGCCTTTCTAACTCTCTGAAGCCTGGTTTCCCAATGTCTGGACCCAAGGTTGATGCTGAGGATACAGATTTTCTCAGGACCGAGATCCTTCGCAGACAGCCTGAGTGTTGGTTTATTCATTCATTCATTTAGTTGCACTGTATCCCAGGGGAGGAGCCCAACCTGTTCCATGTTGGGGCAAAAGGAAGGTCAGGTGAGAGGGAAAGACTCCAGGGCCCTATGGTCCATGTAGGCATGGTCTGGGTCCCAGATTGCCTTTTGTTTTCATTTCTGGCAAGGTAGATGAAGACCCTTTGGGCTCAGGTCTCTGTTGGTTCTAGTGCCTGGGCAGGTAAAGCCCCATCTCCCAAAAACTACTGGGGTAGAATCTAGGGAATCCTAGCCAGGAACAGTGTCTGCTTTCCTGTAGCTGTAAGCCTGGGTTCCCTGCTCATCTGATACCTGCAAGCATTTTAATGGAGGCCAGACTGTCCTCATCCCTAGCACCTAAATGTCCCTTCTTTGCTCGTGGGGCACAGATGGGCTTCAGCTTGGCCCAGCTCCTGACACTCCGAGTCTGTATGCCCAACAGCCCCTGGTATGGAGCCCTTCTTTAGGAGGCATTTCCAGCAGAAGGCACCAGGTCCTGGACAGAGGCTGCAGCCGTCCAGTGGTATTGGGCTGCCCACAGGCAAGGCTCGACGCCGCTCTCCTGCGGGGCAGGCCTCCTCCTCACTGGCCCAGAGGCGCCGCTCCAGTGCACAGCTCCAGGGCTGTTTCCCCATCTGCGGGGTGGGCACCCAAAGTGCCAGCCGCAGGCGCTCCAGCACTGCACCCCCTGCCTGCAATCCCCGCTTCATGGTGGATATGGTGCCCATCCTACAGCCTGCCACTGCTGGGGCCCAGCTTCTGGGTGCACCTGTGCTGTTGGCTGGGCTTGTGGGCATGAAAGAGGAGGAAGGTGCCCAGGAGGGAGATGAGACACCTGGGGCATCAAGTGATGCCAAACCGGGCTCCAGGACACCAAGGCCCTCTTCGCACCAGGGCACCTGGCCATTGCTTCCCATACCCCGGTGCCTGCGCAGAGCTTCCTCCCACCTGCTCCCTGCCGATGTGGTGTATGGCCATACTCTTTGGGGCCTGCATGGGCACTATCGTCGCTTCAGCCAAAGGTGGCCCTCAGGCCAACACCCTAGTGTTGGGGGCCGAAGCCAAAGAGCCTCGGGCACTGCATCAGGCCTCATGGTACCTGCCCGTGCGCGCCCACTGTCACGCAGACGCCAGGTAGCTCTAAGGCGGAAGTCAGCTGGACCCCAGCCCTGGAACACCCTGCTTATGTAGGTATAGCAGTGGTCATCAGGGTGTGGGGCTAGCTCAGAGGAAGGACTTTGAAGCTCTACCTCGTCTGGGGGTGGCCCTCTTGGAAGCAGCTTGGGGCAGTGCTGAAAGGAGCTGAAGAGCCTCAGACCTCTGTGGACTTCTCTCTTGTACTTTGTGGCAGTCACTATAAGCCGTTTTTCTGGGTAGCTGGCCCTGGGCCTTCAGTTGTCCTTCTTTCTGTAGGAAAGCCATCACCAAGTCAGGCCTCCAGCACCTGGCACCCCCTCCTCCCACGCCTGGGGCCCCGTGTGGTGAATCTGAGCGGCAGATCCGGAGCACTGTGGACTGGAGTGTGAGTATCTGTGTACTAGGCAGGGTAGGAAGCTACTCCTCAGTTCCAGTCCTGCTGGCTTCTGATCCTCCTGAGCAGTCAGGACCCAGGGCTTGTGGGCCACTGGGAGAGAAGTCCCCATGTCTGGGCAGACTTCCAAGGGGGAGGCAGCAGCCTTTGAGCCAGGCTTAAAGCAGTTTGGAAAACAAGAGACGAAAGCAGACTGCGGTGGCTATAAGCAGGCTTTTCTCGGGAGGTGATGGGTAGGATTGGGGCGACAGATAAGCACTGAGCCTGCTCATTCCATGGGTTAGGAGTCAGCAGCGTATGGGGAGCACATCTGGTTTGAGACCAACGTGTCCGGTGACTTCTGCTATGTCGGGGAGCAGTACTGCGTAGCTAGGATGCTGGTGAGTGAGCTCAGTGGGGCCTGCTGCCCCCTGGTGGTGGAGTGGGTCTAGACCTCCAAGGCAACAGCTGCAGCCCTTGGTGGGCACTGCTCTCACCTGCTTGCACTTGCTGTGGGCTGCTCCGGGGTGAGAGGAAGGGGGTCATGTCTAATGACAGGTGCTGGGACTGGAATCCTCACACATTGAACGTGTTCTTTGCTTGCTCTGAGGTGGTATCTCAGGTAAAGTTACCTGGTGCCTCAGGGCCTCCCCTCTTTCTGTCCTACAGCAGAAGTCAGTGCCCAGAAGAAAGTGTGCAGCCTGTAAGATTGTGGTGCACACCCCATGCATTGAACAGTTGGAGAAGGTACGTGCAGCTGCTCAGCCTTCTGTGCCCTCGCCTTGGGATGCTGATGCATTCTTGACATACACACCTGTAGCTCCATGTACATCCAGGTTACACAAGCATGATGTGCCAGGAATGACCCACCAAGCACAGTAGCAAAGCCCCTGAGTCAGGTGCTTGCTTTTAGCTCTGCCTCTCCCCATTTGTTAGCTGTCCTACTCTACTCTAGAGTGAGCATGGCCTACAAGTGCAGTTCATTGACTATTACCCAATAGCATGAGTTAACAGGTGGTGATCAGTGTGTCATTTTACCACATCCAGCCTAACATTCAAAGGGGCCATTGTGGGCGTGGGCTCCAGCAGCTGTCTTGTATATGCAATGTCCTAGCTTCAGTCTCCAGTTCTAGAAAATAAAAACAAAACAGTCAAACTTCCAGATGCTCAGCTGTGGTGGGCCCACCTGTGTTCCTGCTGTGCTACTGCTGGGAGATATGTCCCAAGGACCATTTTCCAAGCGTGTCTGTGGGAGGAAAGGGGAATGCCAGACCAGGTGCCTGTCAAGACAGGGACTAGGCCTGAAGTGGAAGACAAGCTCTCCCATGTTTGCGGAAGTCTAGGCCATCATGTGACAAAGTCTTTAAAAACATAAATGCCCCAGCAAGGCTAGTTTAGGCTGATTCCTCCAGTCCCTGAATTGTACAGTGAGGCTTTTCTATGGTTCTTCTGAGACCAAAGCAGGCACTGGTGGGGAGAAAAGTAGACACGTGTTCCTGGCTGGGCATAGTGGGGCATGCCTGTAATCCCAGCATTTAGAAGGCAAGACAATCTCTTCAAGTTCAAAGACCCTGGTTTATGTGTTCTCTCTCTCTCTCTCTCTCTCTCTCTCTCTCTCTCTCTCTCTCTCTGTGTGTGTGTGTGTGTGTGTGAGAGAGAGAGAGAGAGAGAGAGAGAAAGATATGAGAGAGACAGAGAGAGAAGGAGGGAGAGAGAGAAGGAAAATGCAACCCTGTTATGGAAGGTGACCATGAACCTGGGCTTAGAACATTGGCTAAGGGTCTCCAGGGGTCAGTCTGCACAGCCACAGGAGGGATTGGTTCCTGCCTTCACTTGGGCTGGGAATGCTGGAGGGTGAGAGGGAAATAGATGATCAAATAGTGCTCCCACTCACTACCGTGTGAGGGGGACATGAACCCCCACCTCCACCCTAGCCTCTCCATCCTTGTATCCTAAGTAAAAAAACAGGAAAGACCCCTATGGTCAGTGGTCAGGAGGGCTTCTAAGAGGGGGTAGTCGTGTTCCAAGGGGCTCTTGGGGTGATTTGGGCCTCTACCTGCCTGTGAGGTTGACTCTAGGAGACCTTGTCCAAAGAAGGCTCTGACATTTTGGTGCTCACTGCAATATTTCACAGATCAATTTTCGCTGTAAGCCATCCTTCCGTGAATCAGGCTCCAGAAATGTCCGTGAGGTGAGTGTGCAGCCGTGAGGAGCAGGGCGGCCCAGGCTTCTGAGGGATGAGTGCCACCAGGGTGTTCAGCTTCTAGGCTGAGGTTCTGGGGTCCTGTCTGCAGAGGGATAGGGTTCAGAATGTGTATTAAGGGGTTCAGCCTTCCCTCCAGGCCATGGAGAAAAGTCTACAGCCCCTTTCATCTTTCTACAAGGGACTGTAGAGGGCTTCCTGTGGACTGAATTCAGGGCTGCACCTGTCCAATCCCTCACTTGTTCCCATGACCTTTCTCCCTTCCCCCAGCCAACCTTCGTAAGACACCACTGGGTACACAGGCGACGCCAGGATGGCAAGTGTCGGCATTGTGGAAAGGTAAGGGCCGTGTGTGAAAGCACCAGCTACATGCTGCTCACTGCCCCTGTGCATCCAGTGTGGAGTCTCGGGTGTACTGTCACTCAGGCAGTCTTTGAAGTAAGCGAGGGACGGGGGAGATGGGGGGGCTTGACTTTTGAACTAGCTAGGGACCCTTTGAGAACTATATTGACTTTTCATTCATTAATTCAGTGGTTACTTAGGAAGTGTTGTGTGTGATGTCTTGAGTTAGGCAGCAGGCTCCCTGCCTCCTGAGGACAGTGGCCTGTGGCCTGGGTGCTCAGGACATCTTCCCTACACAGCCCTGTTGCTCACCCACTTGTTGACTGCTGGTCTGTCTCCCTCAGTAAGACAGACTCTCAAGAATGGGCTCAGCCCTCCATACTTTCCCCATGCCCTACACACAGTAGCCATTGACAATGATTTGTGGACATGGCACAGATAGGATGGGTGAGGAGAGGCCGGCGGCGGCAGTACAGCTGGGTCTCTACTGGGCCACCTTGTCCACACAGGGCTTCCAGCAGAAGTTTACCTTCCACAGCAAGGAGATTGTGGCCATCAGTTGCTCCTGGTGCAAGCAAGCGGTAAGTGGCCTCTGTGAGCTTGAGCTGAGCGTCTGGTGGGTCCCCAGTCTCAGCCTGGCACAGCTCAGCCTGCCAATGCTTTCTTCCAGTACCACAGCAAGGTGTCCTGCTTCATGCTGCAGCAGATTGAGGAGCCCTGCTCCCTGGGGGTGCATGCAGCTGTGGTCATCCCACCCACCTGGATCCTACGGGCGCGGAGGCCCCAGGTGAGTCCTTCCTTTATTCTTAGCACCTCTCCCCATGGGACCCACCAGTCACAGCTCATCCACACCCGATTCCTTTGCAGAATACCCTCAAGGCCAGCAAGAAGAAAAAGAGAGCATCCTTCAAGAGGAGATCTAGCAAGAAAGGACCCGAGGTTAGGCCTGGGCTGGGGTGGTTGGGACCAGGAACCAGTTCAGGGCCTTGGACCATACCGCCAGTTTAGCCTGACTGAGTTTGGCTCTGGAGGTCTGAGGAGGTTCCTTGTAGACAGGCCCATGGAAGGTCTGCTATTGAGGGTGGGTGTGCTCACTTGTGGCAGGGGATGCTGAGGGGGATGTAGGCTAGGGCCTCCAGGACAGGAAAGTGCCTTATAGGTTCTCTGTCTCCCAGGAAGGCCGCTGGAGACCCTTCATCATCAGGCCTACCCCATCCCCCCTCATGAAGCCCCTGCTGGTATTTGTGAACCCTAAGAGTGGGGGCAACCAGGTAGGCATAAGCTTTCCACCCACGAGCCACAAGTGATTAGGGGGCCAGTATTATACCCACCTGTCCATAGTGGTTCTCAGCAACCATTTGGGGCTTCAGCTCCTACCTTGCTTTTCCAGGAACCCTGAGAGAGGACCTTGTCCCATCTCACTGTTTATTGTAACTGGTTCCCACGATCGTGTCCCCTCTCTCTGCCCCCATCCCCCTCTTCTCATTGTCCCGTGGCTGTCCCTACAGGGCGCTAAGATCATCCAGTCTTTCTTGTGGTATCTGAATCCTCGACAAGTCTTTGACCTGAGCCAGGGGGGACCCAAGGAGGCGTAAGTACTCTACCTGGTTCTCCAGGACAGTGGAGGCTTGCCTCGCTCTTGGTATGTCACATGTCTCCTGACTCTATTCCTGTCCTCCCCTGGTCCAGGCTGGAAATGTACCGCAAAGTGCATAATTTGAGGATTCTGGCTTGCGGGGGTGACGGCACGGTGAGTTCTGTAAGTGGGCCTCATGCCTGCTGCACTCCTCCCCCGTTGCGGACCTGACTGATCCACTGTGCTCTGTCCTCCTCCAGGTTGGCTGGATTCTGTCCACCCTGGACCAGCTGCGCTTAAAGCCACCGCCCCCTGTGGCCATCCTGCCCCTGGGTACCGGCAATGACCTGGCCCGTACCCTCAACTGGGGTGGGGTAAGCGCCCTTTAGAACAGGATTGCCAGAGGGGAAGTATATCCATTGACCACAGAGAAAGCTCAGTCTCAGCCTCTTTCCACCAGGGTTACACAGATGAGCCTGTGTCAAAGATCCTTTCCCATGTAGAGGAGGGGAATGTGGTACAGCTGGACCGCTGGGATCTCCGAGCAGAGCCCAACCCTGAGGCAGGCCCTGAGGAGCGAGATGATGGAGCCACTGACCAGGTAGGTCAACTAGGGCTACCGGGCAAGGGTTTGTGAGCCTGGGATTCTTTTTTTTTTTTTGGTTTTTCGAGACAGGATTTCTCTGTGTAGTTTTGGAGCCTGTCCTGTAGACCAGGCTGGTCTCAAACTCACAGGGATTCGCCTGCTTCTGCCTCCCGAGTGTTGGCTGAGCCTGGATTCTTAAGGATCTGGCTGGACTCTGCACATTTACTATCTCCGGGGTTCTGGAAAGCTGAGTTTCCAGTTCTACACATTCTGGCCTTTTACTGTCCCAGGGGTGTAGTGGTGCCCACTGCAGGCTGGTTTCTTACTCAGCCTCCTGGTGCATGAATAGGGAGGGCCTCCTGTATGCCGGCCTCTGTTCTGGAGTTGATGCAGTACATGGCATGTGGGGTGCAGTGTTGCAAGGATCCAGCAGGTCATCCAAGGAGCTGCCCTCCCCGCTCCCAGCTAGAAGAGCAGGGCCTCCCCAGCAGCGCTGCAGGGGTGCTGGGGAAGCTTTGGCACACTGTTGACTTGACACAGAGGCCTTCAGAAGTAGATGGACTGAGCAGGGGTAATAACGACTATGGCTGGCACCCTGAGAGTCACCTCCTCGTTTCCACACCTTGACATTTTTCTAGCTGCCCCTGGATGTCTTCAACAACTACTTCAGTCTGGGCTTTGATGCCCACGTCACCTTGGAGTTCCATGAGTCCCGAGGTTAGCATCCTCCTGCTGAGGGGACCTGGGGGCCAGGGCAGGCACGGGAGGTTCAAGAGTGTTCCAAGGAGGGCCAGATCTTGCTTCTCTTAGTCTTCCTCCCCTAACCTGGGAAGCTCCAGCAGGTTGACTGACATCACCGTCCCTTTCTCTACAGAAGCCAACCCAGAGAAGTTCAACAGCCGCTTTCGGAATAAGATGTTCTACGCTGGGGTAAGTCTGGGGATAGCCAGCCCCCAGCCCCGTGTGCAGCTCACAGGACCCCTGTGACAGACACAGTGGTTTATCACACCCTCTGTCTCCAACAGACGGCTTTCTCTGACTTCCTGATGGGCAGCTCCAAGGACTTAGCCAAGCATATCCGCGTGGTGGTAAGGAGGGCTGGCGGACACACAGTGGAGCCCAGTAGGAGGGAGGCCATTAGGGTACACGTGTTCTCCAACACTCCCCTGTTCCTGTGTCCAGTGTGATGGAATAGACCTAACCCCCAAGATCCAGGACCTGAAACCCCAGTGCATCGTTTTTCTGAACATCCCCAGGTGAGGAAATGGGGCTCCTGTGGACCCTGCTGTTCCATCCTGCTAAGTCCATGCCAGAGCCCATCTGTTCCCTCCCCTTAGGTACTGTGCAGGCACCATGCCCTGGGGCCACCCTGGGGAGCACCATGACTTTGAGCCCCAGAGGCATGATGATGGCTACCTCGAGGTCATCGGCTTCACCATGACATCCCTCGTGAGTGCTCCTTGTCCTAAACTGTTTGTTCTTTTCCCTTCACCAGCCAGGGTTGGGTGCTCACCTCTGCTCTGTTCTTGGCCTGAGTCCCCTAGTTGGACATCTTGGCCTTCTTCCTCTTCCCTCTCGTCTGCATTGTCTGGGGTTCCCTCGTGTGTTTATCTTGCCCCACCCACCACTTGACCTGAACATTCTTTGCCCACAGGCAGCACTGCAGGTGGGTGGGCACGGAGAGCGGCTGACCCAGTGCCGAGAAGTGCTGCTCACCACGGCCAAGGCCATCCCTGTGCAGGTGGACGGTGAGCCCTGCAAGCTTGCGTCATCACGTATTCGAATCGCCCTGCGCAACCAGGCCACCATGGTGCAGAAGGCCAAGCGCCGGAGTGCTGCCCCACTGCACAGCGAGTAGGTCCATGGTAGCCATCGTGTACCGAGGGGCCTGGAACCAAGCACTGATTTACTTGAGTTTTGGTTTCCTGCCCTGCAAAGGGGACTTGAAGTCTGGTGATAAGAGAGCACTTGCTTAGCATGGTCCTCTTAGCATCCAGTCTTGTGGCCAGCTGAGGACTGGTGTCCCAGGCAGGGTCCTGGCTGAGTTCCTTGTCGTTGGTCCCACCCTACAGTCAGCAGCCAGTCCCCGAGCAGCTGCGGATCCAGGTGAGCAGGGTCAGCATGCACGACTATGAGGCTCTGCACTATGACAAGGAGCAGCTCAAGGAGGCCTGTGAGTGGCAGCAGGACTGTGGCAGGGAGGGGTGAGCAGCTGCTGGGCTGCCTGCAGACATGCAGAAGGGACATGCAGCCAGCTGCTGAAAGGCCCCTCTGTCTTCTAGCTGTGCCTCTGGGCACTGTGGTGGTCCCTGGGGACAGCGACCTGGAGCTCTGCCGTGCCCACATTGAGAGACTCCAGCAGGAAAGTGGTGTAAGCAGGACGAGGTGGGGGCACCCGAGCTTCCTCCCCAGACTATCTGTGGCCCACTCTGACTTCTGCTTCTGTCATAGGAGCCCGATGGCGCTGGAGCCAAGTCCCCGACATGCCACCAACTATCCTCTAAGTGGTGTTTCTTGGATGGTGAGTCTGCCTTGAAGGGTCAATTCTAGGCAGCGCTGGGCTCTGTCCCGCTAGCCCTCCTTTGGGGGAACCTGGGCTGGGCCAAGGATGTTCCCCATACTCAGCGAGGCATCTCTTCTCCAGCTACCACTGCCAGCCGCTTCTACAGGATCGACAGGGCGCAGGTAAGCATTGCAGGCGCTCCTCCTCCACAGCCAGTTTCTGTACCCTGCACACTCACACCTCTGCAGGCAAGCTTCAGGGTTAGCCCCACAAGCCAAGCATGCTCACCACAGCCTCACGGCCATAATATCCTCACATGCCTGTGGCTGTGGATCACATGCCCCCACCCTCCAGGAATGCACAGGGATGGTGCCAACAGAAAAAGCTGGCATACCCAGAAAAGGCTTTCTGGGTGGGTGGAAGGGAGGGCCTCGAAGCACAGTGCTATCCAGGGAAGCAGAAGAAAATAGCCAGGGCTAGATCACCTGGCTTAGCAGTGGGAAGTAGTTGTTGCGCTGGTGAATGCCACATATAGAGGTGAGGGACTGGGCTGAACAGGAAGAAGGACTCTCCCTGCCACCTCCCCCAAGGTTCCTGCTCTGAGAGAGGTTTCTCTAGGTCTGCTGCCTTGCTTGCTGCCCTAGCCCCACCCCCACCACTGAGGACTAAAGGCCATACATGCTGGCACTGACCTTCAGTTCTAACCCTCCCCCACAGGAGCACCTCAACTATGTGACGGAGATTGCCCAGGATGAGATTTATATCCTAGACCCTGAGCTGCTGGGGGCATCAGCACGGCCTGACCTCCCCACCCCTACCTCCCCGCTCCCTGCCTCTCCCTGCTCCCCCATACCCCGGTGAGTCCCAGAGCCCCCCTGACCACCACTCCCCCAGCTTTAAACCCTGTCTGCTGGCTGCAGGCTTGGAATTCCCGCCTTTAGACACAGAGTGAGCACTCAGGGGCAGGCTCTGTCCCTCTGCTAGGATGCTCCCTACCGTCTGAACAAGTGCAGGGCCACACAGGCCACTCCCCAGCCCAGAATCCCTCTTCCTCAGCAGCCCTTCAGTCCTGGGCCTCCTGGCCTGTCTGTCCATTGTCCCCTGAGGTCCCAGGCCATCCTCTGGACTTTGGACTTGCTGCCTCCCACTTGCCCCTTTTCAGACACCCCACCCCTCAGTCTCAGCTTGGCTTCTCCCTCTCAGGGGGATCTTTTCCAGGAATGCCACCTGAAGGTTGGGAAGTATCCAGTCTCCAGTTACCATCTGCTTGGTCACCCTGCCCCGTTGTGTTCAATAGCACTTCCAGATTCCTTATTTCCTGGTTGTCTTATGTCTCTGAGCTCGGATGGGAGCCGTATGGCTCCCTGCTTGTTCTCCACAGTGTGTGATGTGCAGAAAGCACTCAATAGACTTGAAAAAATGAAGGCCAATATGTGTGCTGGGTCACAACTCACCCTGTTCTGTTTGCAGGTCACTGCAGGGGGATGCTGCACCACCTCAAGGTGAGGTCTTTCCCTAGGGTCCTGCCACTCTCCTTTCCTTGGTCTGTGTGTGAGGTTCAGTGGGAGTCAGCCACTGAGTCCCGTGTTATCATATGCCCCAGTGGGTTCCTACCCTGGACAGTGGTTCCTACCCTGGACAGTGGTCCATCATCACACACACTGTTCACACATCAAGCCATGCCCAGGCCACTGACCTCAGGGTCTGATGGACAGATGTTCTGTGCAGGTGAATTGCTGATTGAAGCTGCCAAGAGGAATGACTTCTGCAAGGTACCAGTCAGAGCTTAGCCTTGCCCCTGGAGCCCTCACCCTGGGCGGTATTAGGCACTTGTCATCAGCTGGTCCTCCATATGGGATTGCCCTGTCTAGGTGACTTGCTGCTAGGGGCTACTCACCCAGTCTTCCTGTCCCTGGTACTTGGACCGGAGTCAATCTTAAAGGGATTGCAGGCTCCAGAGCTTGGTTGACTGTACATTTTGGGGGAGTCCTCACATGTCAGATGAGAAGACTTGTATCTCTAATGACACCCAAAGAGACCCTCAGAAGCCACCTGTGGTGACATATACCTTTAATCCCAGCTCTCAGGAGGCAAGAGGCAGGAGGATCTCTGTGAATTCAAGACCAGTCTGGTCTACATAGTTCCAGGACAGCCAGGACTACATAGAGACAACCTGTCTCAAAACAGCAAAACCCTCAAAGGCTCCTAGTGTGACCTGTGTGAGCCTATGCCTGGGTCCATGCTTGTGGAGGGAGGGAGACCCAGCTCTGCTCTGCCCTGCCCATTGTCCTCAGCTCCAGGAGCTACACCGAGCAGGAGGTGACCTCATGCACCGGGACCAGCAGAGCCGCACACTCTTGCACCACGCAGTCAGCACTGGCAGTAAGGAAGTGGTCCGCTATCTGCTGGACCATGGTAAGCGGTGCTCCTGGGCCTGGGCCTGGGTGGGAAGAAAGGGGCTGTCAGGCTCTGAGTGCCTTTCCTCCTTCAGCACCGCCAGAGATCCTTGATGCTGTGGAGGAGAAGTGAGTACTGGGACAGAGCCCCTGGCCCGCCTGAAAACCACCTTCCTTCAGTCCTAACCATCTGATCACCCAAAGCCCAAGAACCCTTTTTGGCCAGCATGGGGTACCCCTCCCCCTCTTGTCAAACTCCTGCCCTTTCTGGCTGTTGGAAAGTGTCCACAAGCAGCCCCTGCCCCCCAGTGGGGAGACCTGTCTCCACCAGGCAGCTGCCCTGGGCCAGCGCACCATCTGCCACTACATCGTGGAAGCTGGGGCCTCCCTCATGAAGACAGACCAGCAGGTGAGCCTGGCAGAACCCAAACCCGCCCTTTTCCAGAAATTGGGGGCAGGGCTAGGAAACTTGAAGCTGTTTCCAAGTAATCCAGGCCTTGAGAAACCTGAGCTGGGAGGGGAAAACCTTGTAACCTGGGAGGTTACCCCTCCCCCACAGGCCCTCTCTTAAGGCCGTGGGGCCCTTCCACCCTTTTCCAGGGCGACACTCCCCGGCAGCGAGCTGAGAAGGCTCAGGACACAGAGTTGGCTGCCTACCTGGAGAACAGACAGCACTACCAGATGATCCAGCGTGAGGACCAGGAGACGGCTGTGTAGTGGAGGACACTGCAGAGGACCACAGCGTCCTTTGCCCACCTCACTGCCACATTCCTGTCGGGTGGCCATGGGGGGACCCTGCCCCAGGGAAGGAGCCCCGTGCCACCCCTGAGAAGCCGCTCAGATCTAGGGCTGGACTCTGAGGAGCTGGACTCTCGCCTGTCCCTGTGTTCATGGGGAACAGGAGATGGGCTGGCGGATCCCTTCGGGCAGCCTTCCCCTCACCATGGCAGATGGAAGGCAGGACAGAAAGCACCGATAGGAAGGCCTGCTCGCAGCAGGCCATTTGCTAGCCGCCTGGCCCTTTGGACTGTCAGGAGGCTTCGGGGTGCCTAGCCCTTCGCTCTGACCCACCCACCAGGGCCTCCCAGAAACTGAAGAGCCTGCTGTATTCACCTGCCCGCGGCCCTGCTTGGCACCTACCCTGGTGATCCTCATGTACCCAGTCATTTCATTTCAGACTGTATGGCCTGGGGTGGGGGGTGGGGCTCCCACGGTGACTTGTTTACAGCTGGGTGTGACTCAGTAAAGTGAATTTTTTTTTCCTTTCTTGTTTTCTTTTTCCTTGTGTGGGTCTCTGATAAGCAGCGGCGTGTGCCTGGTTAACTTAGAGTTGGGGAATGGTCATCAGTATCTCAGACCGTTACAGGGGTACCTAGCTGGGATGGGTATGCCCGGCTCCTGACCTCTGCCTAGCGGCTTAGGCTCCCAGGGCCAGAGGCGGAGCTGATTTCCTCTGCTTCCCGCTCCTGCCGGGGCGATAACAATGAAAGTAAAAGGGGTGGGGTGGGGGCGGGCGGGGGTTCATCGGTCCCTTGGCCCTGTGCCCTGGAGCAGTACCGCAGTCCCCTCCCCCTGGCCTGTAGTGGTGGGGAGGGGGCAGGGGGAAACTACTGGTTGAGGTGAGCCTGAGGCCCCAGGGTCAGGGGTGGGCGGTTATCACCTTCAGTGAAGCCTGGTCTGGAACTTCTCAGACAGCCCCTGTCAGCTACAAGGTTTACCAATCTCAGGCCTGCGCCCCCACCCCCTCCTAACCTCACTAGAAAAAGGGTCTTGAGCTTTGCTCGTCCCCAGCCAACTGGGGTCCCGGATACTCAGCTCCCGTACACATCAAAACCCCTCCTTGCCCTCTGAGTGATCTGATCCCCAACAAGTAGGAGGTGAGCCAGGCTCCGAAGGTTAGCATCCTGGATGCAGAGGCCTTCCTGAGGTCGGGGCCCACAGAGAGGAAGCGAATTGGTGTCCTGAGAGCTGTCGGCAAAGGGGACAAGTCCAAACCAGGGAAGGGGAAGGCGGGAGGAGGAAGAGTGCTGCGGCTCAAGAGCCCGTGAGAGGACTTTGAGCCAGGAGTGGAGGGGCAAGACGGAGCTCCAGGGCCAGAGACTCAGAGATCAGAGGTGAGGGGCAGGCGCGGGAAAGCGGCTAGGGGCGGGAGTGGAGGCGGGGACTAGGGGGTGTGAGGAGGTGCGGGTTTGAGGGGAGGGGGCGGGGCGGGTCCTTCCATGGGAGTGGGGGGGAGGGGCGGGGGCCCATGTGACCGGCTCAGACCGGTTCTGGAGACAAAAGGGGCCGCAGTGGTCTTGGCGGACCGCAGCTGTAGCGGGAGGGAGCGAAGCATCCACCGACAGAGAGCGAGTGAGCGCGGCACAGCAGCCACGGCCTCAGTCCCTCCGGGCTGCAGCCACCAAGGAGACTGAGGCGGGGGTGGGGGGCTACGCTGAGTCCCGGAATTGCGGCTTCAAGTCCTCCCTCCGTCGGCCCCTTGTCGGCCGGACCCCTTGGGCCTGGAAAGTGGGCCAAGTCGGGGTGGAAGGTGTTGTCCCCATCGGGGAAGGGAATGGGCAGGAAACTCTAACCCAAACTTTTCCTCTAGGATGCAGTACCGAGGCTTCTTCCTTCTAGCCCTTCTTGCCCTCCTGGCGCTCACGTCCGCAGTGGCCAAAAAGAAAGGTGATGGGATAGGGTGGGCTCAGGAGGAAAAGGCCGGGAGGGCAAGTGAGGCCGCAGGACCTTGGGATTAGTCTCCCAGGGAGTTTCTGTGCACGCCAAGTCTTAACTCTGTTCCTTGCACTTTATAGACAAGGTGAAGAAGGGCAGCCTGGGGAGCGAGTGTTCGGAGTGGACCTGGGGGCCCTGCATCCCCAGCAGCAAAGACTGCGGCATGGGTTTCCGCGAGGGTACCTGCGGAGCCCAGACCCAGCGCATCCATTGCAAGGTGCCCTGCAACTGGAAGAAGGAATTTGGAGGTGAGGTGGGGCACAGGAGGAGGGCAAGAAGGCAGGGGTAGCCACAAGCCTCCTGTTTCTCACCCCGTGGGGCCACTCTCCCATCAGCCGACTGTAAGTACAAGTTTGAGAACTGGGGGTCGTGTGATGGAAGCACCGGCACCAGAGCACGCCAAGGGACCCTGAAGAAGGCTCGCTACAATGCCCAGTGCCAGGAGACCATCCGCGTGACCAAGCCCTGCACCTCGAAGACCAAGTCGAAGACCAAAGGTCAGTGAATACGGTGGGGCTATGGATCTGGTTAGGGACTTCGCGCCATCTTTTCAGAGCGGTCTTAGAGTTGGAAATGGGCCGGTACTTGAAGGAGGTGCTAAACCTCTTTGCCCAAGTAGGAGCTACTCTTCCTGTTGGATCGTCCGATTTTCGTCCTGGAAAAGGCCTGTCTTTGTCACCTGAGGAGGGTTGGGTAGGGTGCCCTTAAAACTCTGGGAAAGATGTCCCAAAGGGCCATGCTGCTGCCTGACCCACAATTACCATTGAGGCCAACAGGGCAGAGGTCAGTCTGCCCACTTCCCAGGTGAGAAACACAGATATACTCTGATCCTGGATGAAAACCAGGCCGAGCTGAAGCAGTAAGATAGCCGTGACTTCAAGGCTACAGAGTAAGACTCTGTTAAAAAAAAAAAAGAAGAAGAAGAAGAGGTGGGGGGGGGGGGTTTAAAAAGTTGCGGAATAAGAAAAGGCTTAGTTGGCATCACAATGGCTGCCCTTTCCATCCACTTCCGGGTTAACTGATCAAAGACCACTAGGGGGCAGGATCTTCTCTCCTTGTTGTACTTAATTGTGGGCAGGTCTAACCCCATCACCTAACTAGAGCGTTTCTTATTTTCCAGCCAAGAAAGGGAAAGGAAAAGACTGATCTCAGGATGCTGGAGAGCCTCTGGCCTACCTGGGTCCCTGAAGGAGGCTTCTCTCCCACGGGCCCAAAATAGAACCCACCAGTGCCTTTTGTCTTCCACAGCCTTGTCAATCACGCCCTGCCGCTGCCTTCTCACCCACACCAAGTGCCCAAAGTGGGGAGGGACAAGCACAAGGGATTCTGGGAAGCTTGAACCTCCCCAGAGGGATCTGATTCCCAGCACCCCATTTTGTTCTCCCCACCCTGTTACGTTAAGAAATGAATAAAATAAACTCACATTTTTTTCTCCAATAAAAGCTTCTTTTTTAATATATAAAAGTCCCTTCCCAGGGAGTTTGCCATAGAGTTTTGTTGGGGTTGGGGTGGGGAAAGACGGGCTGAAGGGAGTTGAGGCCTACTAGGAAGTGCTCCCAACAGCTCAGGAAAGAGCAGAACATTTATGAGAATGTCTTCCAGAGCCCCCCTGGGTGTCATCTCTCCCGGGAACCACAGGGCTGGGGTTAGGGAAGAGAACCCAGATGCCTCACCTAGAAGAGTCTTGGTCCGGGCTCCTGCCAGTCTGGAGGGTTCTCCCCGGGGAGATGAAGGTGCTTGCCTCACCTGCACCATCACCAAGTGCACCCCCCACACCACACTTTCTTTTCTTTCTCTTGGGCCTCCCTCCTGCAGAGGTAGAGGAGAATACCGCCCTTCGTTTGAAGCCTATGGGGGGTGCTCTTTACAGTAAGATTCACTACTGTTTGACTCAGTCTTGGTCCCCTGTAATCTGTATCAGCTTCTTAGCTTGGTTTCCCAGTTGCCCCATCCAGATATGACTGCTGGTCAGGGAAGGAACCAAGTGTCAGTGGGCACCTCAGCCTGGCTGAATCTCTCACCCTGGAGAGGGAATTGGGGGCAGGGAAGGGCCGAGCCTACATGCAGGGGGAGGGGGTGCAGGGAGGCGGAAAGCACCGATTACAGCAGAACGGGGTACCCCACCCCTCCAAGCCTGGCTCCTTTGCTCCTGGCCTCTGCTCTCCTATTGGTTCTTCCATCTCTGCTGATGGCCGGCCTTGACAGAACCGCTGCCCACTCCAGTCATTGTCCCCCATCCCCCTGAGGCAGGGTGACAGATAGGGGCCAGGTGGTGCCAGTTCAGACCGTCCAGGGCTGAGCTCCGGGCTTCGGTAGAGATCTACCCTCCAAACCCAGTGAAGAGCTTCTTGTGCCTCACTGTAAAGAGACCTGTTCTCTTTAGCAGATGCGAACTCAGAATGGGGCCGCCTACTCGCTCCTCCACAGCCGGTGAGCCCATGTGGTTCCCCGGTACACACTCATGACACCAGCACCTCCTAGGGCACCTGCCTGTCTACCTGGCCGTGCCGATGTTCCGATACTGGCATAGCAGGAGGTGCCGGAAGGTCTTTTTGAAAGTGGCATTGCAAAGTGCATAGCAGGCAGGGTTGATGGTGCTGTTGACATAGCAGAGCCAGTAGCCAATGGACCACACCCTCTCAGGGATACAGCTCTGGCAAAAGGTGTTCACCAGGACCATGACATTGTAGGGTGTCCAGGTGAGGATGAAGGCCAGCAGGATGGCAAAGATGGTCCGAGTCACTTTGCGCTCACGGGCCGCCATCTGTCGCTTCTTCCGCACCTGGTTGCGAGCAATGCTGGCGAACTTTCGGGCCACATTAGCTGCTGGGCGCATGCCAGCTGGAGTGGCCGGTACAATCTCGATGGCTGTCACACACTCATTGCCTGTCTGCTTGGTTACAATCTGAATCTTGGACCATTTAGAGGCTGGGTTGAGGGTTCGTGGCTGCAGGGTAGGGGCGGGCAGGGCTGGTGTGGTGGCCTCTGTGGTGGACAGCTCTGTGGGTGGCCGTTCCTTGGTGTTCTGGGTGGCACTGCCCGAGCTCGACTCATTGGAAGTGTCCTTGTCGGTCACCGGGCGTGGAGGCGGGGGCAGGGCTGGCGGAGGGGCCTCTTCTAGCTTCCCGTTGCGCAGTTCCTCTCGAGAAGCGCCCCCTGGTGGAGGTTTCTTGATACTCGGCTTCATCAGGGGGCTCTTGAGGAAAGCCAGAGTCTTGGCCTTCTTCTCCTTGGGGCCCTCAGGTCGATGCTTGTGGACTCGACTGCGACTTGCGAGTGAGATGTGAATGTACAGCACCGTCATGATGACCACGGGCAGATAGAAGGCAGCAATGGCTGTGCCGAAGGTCACTGCCGGGTTGGATAAGAACTGGATGAAACACTGGTTATCAGGCACTGTCCTCTTGCCCACCACAAACTGCCAGAACAAGATGGCGGGGGCCCAGAGCACAAAGGACAGGACCCAGGCAGCCGCAATCATGAGGCCTGCCATTTTAGTAGTGCGGCGGGCAGGGTAGGTGAGGGGTTTGGTGACGCAGAAGTAGCGGTCAAAGCTGATGATGAGAAGGTTCATGACGGAGGCATTGCTCACTACATAGTCCAGGGCCAGCCACAGGTCACAGACCACCGCGCCCAGGGGCCAGTAGCCCTTGATGATGTATACGGTGTAGAGGTTCATGGAGAACGCACCTATGATGAGATCCGCGCATGCCAGGCTGAACAGGAAGTAGTTGTTGACTGTCTGCAGCTGCCTGTTGACTTTGATGGACAACATCACCAGGATGTTACCCACAACAGTCACCAGGCTCAGTGAGCCTGTCACTGTGGCGATGAACACCATCTCCACTGTCTCCAGGTGGTTATGGGTGGCCGTGACCAGGCGCACAGACTGATTGGCTGAGCTGCCATTGCCAGGTGTGAAGTTCGCCATGCTGAGCCCAGCTGGGTACAGGTGGCAGTGGCTGGAGGGGAAGGAGACAGGAAGGGGTGAGTTGTTGAAGAGGATGAGGGGGCCACATGGCAGGAGGGAGGTCACCCGGGAAGAAGTTAGGGCGCTCCAGCACACTGTCCCGCAGTTTTCACTCATAAAGTGAGTAGAACTGAGAGCCTCCTGGGGGCCCAACGCTGGCATCAGCTCAGGGCTGAGATCAGAAGCGGATGAAACACTCATGGTTCCCACAGAATGGATAACCCAGTTTGGGGAGAGAGATAGAAGCGTGAGGAAAGGAAAATAAGGCAGAGAAGGGTAACAAAAGTGAGTCAGAAGACAGGAGAGGGGTTGTTCCTTGCGGGTGATCATGTGCCTCCCCTGGGAGATGACGGAACAACGACAAGGAGATGGCCATGCGAAGAGCTGTGGCCCATGGCCGGGATAAGACATGGACAGGCCAGTATATGGAGCCCAGGAAAGCAAAGGCAGTGTGAGGAATGTCCCAGACCGCAAGATGGAGATGGAGAGAAGTGTTGGATCATTCGCTCCCTCACTCCTGTCCAAGCCTGCTTCTCGGGTACCGAGGATTGTGTCCAGCGCCACACACGGCAGACGACGTGCACACACAGACCACACGCGTAGACCACACGCACAGACCACACGCGTAGACCACACGCACAGACCACACACGTAGACCACACACACAGATCACACGCGTAGACCACACGCACAGACCACACGCGTAGACCACACGCACGCACAGACCACACGCACAGACCACACGCGTAGATCACACGCGTAGACGTGCACCACACGCACAGACCACACGCACAGACCACACGCACAGACCACACGCGTAGATCACACGCGTAGACGTGCACCACACGCACAGACCACAGGCGTAGATGTGCACGCACAGACCACACGTGTAGACGTGCACCACACACACAGACCTCTCGGCCACATAGTCAGCCCTGCTTGGCCATTTCTTTTCTTTTTTCTTCCTTTCTTTTCTTTTCTTTTCCCGTTCTCTCTCTCTTTCTCTCTCTCTCTCTCTTTCTCTGTTTCTTTCTTTGAGATAGGGTCTTACCTAACAGGCTGACCTCAAACTCACAGAGTTTGATCTTCCTGTCTGTCTCTAGACGGCTGGAATTAAAGGCATGTACCACCACATCTAGCCACTTGGGCGTGTCTTAACCAAATATGGCCGAGCTCTGGAGGCTTGTTCTCGACCCCCGCATCTACACTGCAGATGCAGGCAACAATGCAGGAGCAGTGTCAGCGGTCTCCTAAGTTCCTACATTCTGTGACGGGCATCGTCACGACGAACCTGGGGCAGATGCTGAGGAAACGGCACAGGCATGTTAAATAACCTCTGTAGTTATTTGAATAAATGGGGTTCCATGTTTCCTTGATGTCCCGTTGCTGGTAGAGTGCATTTGAGGGGCAAAGAAGACGGTCCTAGAACTAAGACACAGGTCCTGATGCCCTCAGGAGGTGAGGTGTGAGCTGGGACGCCAGGAGAGGAGTAGGAATAGTAAGAGGATTCAAGCTCAGCGTTGCCTCCCCAGCCCAGCCCCAGGGAATGAGTGGGCACTGCAGGGGCAGTGGTGGCAGCGTCCCAGGGCTCCAAACACAAGAAATCAGAAATTTAAAGGACTCAGCAGCTGAGGAATGGTCTTCCTGATTTCCTCAGAACACAGGCCAGTCTAACCTCCCCTGGGAGTCATCCTGCAGCCAGCCTCAGAGTTCACATCCCACACAGAGAATGACCCGGCTGAGGTCCTACAAGGCCCTCCCGAGTCTGCTTCCCTCCCACCAGGCTCCCTTCAGCTCCCCCCCCCTTCCTCTTCCATACATGTGAGGGAGGCCCACGCCCAGCACACTGTGCCAGGGCAGCCGCTCAGCCCAGCCTCCTTCACACCCGCCAACACACAACCATTCCACATACGCACACAGGCCCCATCTCAGCCACACGCAGGTTGTATACGCAATTCTGTGCGTCTGTCTGTGTGTGTGAACGAGGAAACGAGGGTACAGCAGCCGGCTGTGGAGGAAGACGCACCCCATCTGCAGCCTGGTTCAGTGGAAGGCCAGCAAGGCCTAGCTGGACTGTCTGAGGAGAGTCATCTGTGCTCCTAGGACTTAACTCCCTCATTTACAAAACAGGATCTTGTCCCATCACAGTCTTTGAATAGCCAGGTGATCCTGTCAGCGCCACAGTTTGCTCTCCACCTGGAGATGGTGCTGCAGGCAGCAGACACATGCCAAGTTTGGCCCCAGTCCTCCAGCGCCCCCTCCCCCGCCACAGAAGACACAAGACCCTGCCGTTAACTTCAAAATTAAATTCTCCTGCTCTAAATCCTTGGGTCAAAGAAGGCCAGGAGGAGAGGGGGTAATGATCCCTCCAAGGTCACCCAAGGAGTCAAGGGTAAGACAGATGGGTCC